GAGGTTCAATCCGCACTTCCACCAGACTTTTCTAGTCCGAGCACTAATTCATAGGCAAATTTTGGACAAATTTCTTATAATTTTTAAAATTTATTTGTCTATATACGGCTCTTGCATGCCACTACTGTGATAGTTGAAATACAGTTGAGCATACCTTCGAGGATATACATGGAATAGCCGCAATATTTCTAAGGGTATATGGTATTGTTTTCTAATGCATTAGCCATCTGTGATGGTTTTCTGACTTGATAAAAAAGAGTATCCTGCTAAGCTCTGTCTTCTTTCACTTTGTCTTCTTCAAAGAGGAAGGCATATCAGTTTAACTGTCCCCAGGACCAAAACTGGAAGACTCTTTCAATTTTCCAAGGTCCATCCTAAGCCGGCTATATTGTTTATCTCAAACAACCTATACGTGATAGGAACGCCTAAGCAGACTACGCATCATCTAGGAAACACTTCAACAATCAAACGTACGAGGCAATCAAGTTTCAAGTAGGAGAAACTCAGTTAACAGCAAAAGAACGAATTCAATTTATAACAAATATCAAACCCTAAGTAGCTAAAACTTCAACTACTGCCTCGCCAACTAAATGAAAATGGGCACCATGACAGGATCTTTAGGACGTATTGTTACACATAGCTCAAAACAAATGAATGATTCAAGGATTATATCACTGATTTTATTTGCCATCATTTCATCCCTCCACTGGGATTTAGCTAATTACAAATTATTGGTTTTGGGATTCAGCATCCACAATCTAATGAAACAGAGAAATATCGGAAACTAGCCTGTCTTCCTTGACCAAGCTTAAATATTTGCTTGAACAGACCAACTTGTTCCTTTGTCCTTTCGGTTTTTCTATGCTCACCTACAAAAACAATATTCCTGTCATTTCATGCCATACAACAAGATAACCAAAGGAGCATGACTAGCACAATCGCACATCTCCTACATCACGACAGGATTACGCTTAAAATAAGCATGCATCGAGAACCTACAAGCCCGCACCATACATAAACTGAAACATAATCAAGGAATGAGACATGTTGCGGCACTTTTTTCCTTTCACTTTTTAGCTTTCATTTATTTATCACATGTTAAAAATTCAGTCCACTTCATCAAGAATTGGCCCATTCAAAATGTCAAGTTCCAAGATCAGATCCGTGGAAACTATTACACATCTGATACAAGGCTTCTAACAGGATCAAACAAATCTAGGTCTTCTACCGGCTATTATCTAAATGTCATCTATTGATTGTCCTCCAGATTTTCCTTAAAAATGTCTACAAAAGAATAGTTGAGTTCACACAACAAATGTCCCTTCACCGTTACAATACTTTAATGCTAGAGTCTCCCCATTGAAACCCAAGAGAAAGGGAGATAATCAATTTCAAGAATGTCATCCCCCAGAAAAACATCTCTTCAAAGATCAAGAATACAACAAAAAACAATATCATCTGTTTTTGATTTTAATCACAACACATAATAAACAAATCAATTGTAGCCACAAACCAGACACAGATAGGAGATTGTACTATCCTCAAATTAGTTTTGGAAATATCACCCAAAATAAAAACCCCAACGTAGAAAAACAGTACATATGAGCATTCAAGAAAAGAACATATATCGTGAAAAGAATAACAAATATGTGATGTGGCTTCTGAAATAAATCATGATTGCTAAATGTCCCAATATAATTCTATCAAGATTTATTTAACTAAATATCCCCTACAAACAGTTCATACCTACAGTGTACTAAGGAGAAAGGAGAAAGAACCATGTACCATTACCAACATTTATGATGGGGGCTCAAGAAGAGCCCAACAGCTCAGGCTTCTGTATCCAATACTGCTGAAACCTCTGCTTGGCATACTCCTTGTAGTCAAAGTCAATTTCATTCACATGTTCCTGAGGAGGATATATGGTACAATATCATACAAGCAAGCTCAGAAAGAAGGAAATTGCAAGCCGATGCCATTATCTAATGGCATCTCTTCCCTCCCTCACAATCAAGCACAAGTTGAAGCATCTATATTGTTGGTCCCTCTTGGGTCAATGACTACATTTACCAAGAAAAAATTATCTTTTCAATTTTATAAGAGGGAGAGGGAGAGAGAGAGGGATTTAGGCAGGTAGAAGGTAGATTAGGAGCTTATTAAATTTCAAACTAGAAGGAAGATTTGACATTTAAACCTCTAACAACTTCAAGTATAGCCTGTTTATGGCAGGTTCCATGTGCTCAGCTCGACAAAATTCATAATAGCATAATTGCAAAGACAGAGAGAGAACTGGAAGATGTAAGACTGGACGCAAAGAGAGAAAAGCTGTACTGGTGAAGAAATGAATAAACTTAAAAAAGGTTAATTGTAAAAATTTGCACTACCACTATCCCAATTTTGAATGCCCTCTTCAAAACAATAAAGGATCTAATAGACTTGTAATAATTTATTAAAACTTTCATTATTTAATTTAAAGAAATTTAGTTAGTAAAAAGTATAAACCTAGATAGCAGCCACTCAAATACTATCGTGAGAGGGCCCATAACAAGGTCAAAATTGCTCAGCCCTCTATCTCATCATCAAATGATTTGAAAATGGTAATGTTATAATAATGGAGCCAACATGAGAGGGTGGAAATTACTGATATTATTCCCCATAAGCCCCAAGTGAGATGACTTGCTAGAGTAAACTGCTCAACATCTTTAAGCAGCTGGTCCACTTCAGTGTCTCGAGGTTCCTCACCTGCCATAAAAGACAGATAATATCATGGGATGCTGACAATAGAAAAAATTCAGAGATATATAGTCAGTTGAAGTTCAATGACCTAAATTGAAACACATTATATCGGTTCTACAACTGCATTAACTTTTTTTAAAAAAATCTGTTATACTAGTCCTTGACAAGTGTAGAAAGGGGAAAAGACCTTATACCACTTTACAAAACATAAACTAAATTGGATGCAGAATTCAACAACTATAGATGGCTACACACAAATGCAGCTAGGCTATTCAATCTTGCAGAAGACTAAGATAGGAATTTTAAAAAATGGTGGGCTGATTGTCCTCCATGTACAAGGAGTACTACTCTTTAGATTTTACTTTTACAAGAGTGTGCCTACATATGATATCTATAAAAGAGCTATTCAAACCAGCCACCATTTGAACAATGGAAAACTCACACAATATCTTACATGCAATAAACAAATACCTGAAGAGTTCAGGTATATACGCAGAAATCTTAAGCGCTCTCCCCAACCTATACAAGCCATGCCAAGAAATTCTTATCATTCAGGGAATAAAAAGCAATTTTTCTTTCAAAGGAAAAATGATATCAAAAGGTTTACCTGGATATTTACTATAATCCATAATATGGGGCGTTTCTGTATGGTAGTCAGCAGCCATCTCACAAAAGTGGTTTGCAATATCATAGGCAACAGGATTGTAACTTGCATACTCGTAATCCTATAAAAGCAGGCAGCCAATCAGCCTCCAAAGAACTGAAATTAGATATTTGGCATTTTGAAAAAAAATGGTTACAGAGAAAAGACAGCATATTCAAGATCATAAGAAATTTCTATTAATCACTAATTAATTAGATATCTTTCTGCAGGATTAGTTACAGGCAAGCACAACATACCCTCTGCATGCATAAATAAGGCCTTAGTCAACAACATTCATTATCAAGCTTAATATAATTCATGATCATATATTAAGCAAACACAAATTCTAAAGTTAAATATGATTCAATTTTAAAAGGACACTATGAGATACATGACTGCATTTCTTTTTTTGCTAATGTTCAATATTGAAGAAAGTTAGCAACTTTAAAAGTAAAAGCGTACAAGACAGCCCACAGCCAAAATCATGGAAAGAAACTTCGTCAAGGTGTGACTTAGAGAACTCAAATGATCACATTAAAAAGCTCAAAACTTAGCAAACAAAGCATTTAAATTATATGATGAATTAACCATAGTTTAATACACGTCTACAATAGTCAAACGCAAATATTCTTCGAAGACAGATAATCTTGTGGGCTTCCCACAGGATTAAAAGTTGTGGTCTTAATAGAAATACAATTTAGGTAAGTCATATTCTTCGAAGACAGATAATCTTGTGGGCTTCCCACAGGATTAAAAGTTGTGGTCTTAATAGAAATACAATTTAGGTAAGTCATAAACCTAGTTCCATATTAAGGAATAAAAATAAGGAAATGATATGTGGAAGTTCCCTCTGGTGCTATACCTGATATATTTATCTTCATCAAACCTCAGTCAATGAGAAATCCATGAGATCACAAGACACCCATCAAGGTCCTAGATGTCATTCAACCAGGCAGAATCACAACTCTACTTGGACACCATGCAGACATTATCAAATGCATAATATGAGAACAAAGATGCTGTAGACACATTCATACATAAAGAGTGATACTGCTAATATGATAAAAAAAAAGGACTACATGAATGCATCAATTTGTTCTATCTTGGGCCAACTTGCTCCCAAACAGGCAACGACAGGGTTCAGGAATTAGGAACTAAGAATATCACTAATGCAACCACATGAACAACTAACAATTTTACTACTACTAGCACAGCTGTTAGTCTTTAGCTATTGTTTGATTTCGAGCCTAATACCCAGCTTGGTCAAAGGATTAACTGTTGTCCTCCCATCTGCAAAATGCAATTCATAACCTGGCCTACAACTCCACCTTGTCTAGAACTTTCCTACTAATTAGGAGCTATGCAAAATTACTGTGAGAAAATCATATATTAAGCAATCCAGTTTGAGAGAAACTCACAATAATGGTTATTGATTTAGTCTCTTCGTCGATCATAATGTTACCATATTGTAAATCATTGTGGCAGAAACCTATGTGTTGATGGCACCCTGAGAGTTTCTTTTCTAACATTGAGATTTCCTCCTCAATAACTTCCAAGCGAAAGGCTTTAGCTTCTTCCAGAGGGCAGACTCTCTTGGCCGCATTTAGCCAGTTTCTAAAACATTGAGATGTACTTTATTTATCCAATGGTAAAAACTTACAAACTAATAAATTAGGCGATAGATATGGCCTCCATAATATTTAGCAAATTCACAAAGAAATATTAAACGTACTGCAATCTATCCCATAGCCAAACTTTCTTTGGACCAGGCATATCTAGTTCATGGAACTCCCTCAATTTAGCTGCTATTAGAGCTGATACATTTGGATCACACAAATCAGATGCTGATAGAGTCTGAAAGTCAATATGCAAGAAAGCAAATATCAGTACACATTTGACAATTCTGATGACTAAATGAGTAAATGATCCCTCCAGGCTGTCGAGAAGAGAGAAAGTATCTATTAATTACAATTGTTAATGGAAAAAAAAAACAAAAGACAAAGAAGTGATTCGCATTGTAATCCTAAATCTTGATGTTTTTAAAGCAAAACACCATACAAACATGAACAAGTAATGTCCTTAGTAGATATAGATGACTAAAAGTCATTTAAAAGATCATCTATCTTAATGATGGTGATGATATGTTGCAAGTCAATCTCATAACGGAGGTGGACGGGCAGTGAATCACTGTGTAAATCCAATACTACAATGTAAAATAGTTAAACTAGCAGCTTGAAGCCCTTCATGCGCATAGTCATTTTAAACAGAATAAATATCGCTTCATGTTCATATCTAAAATAAAGAATATGAGAGAAGGGATGGGAGGGAGCAAATTCAAAAGTACCCGTGCACGGATGAACTCTTCAATTCGCCCATTTGGGAACCGTCCAAGCAAGCGAGGTCCTTGCCCATGTTTCGACATAAACTCAAAAGTACGGATCTCATTATCCCGGTCAAAGAACACCTCCACACCCTCACCATAAATCCTAACTAAAACCTTTCGTGACACTTCACCTGTCCTGGTTGGCCATTTTATTTGGAAGACCTGATTGGTCATCGCACCTTTAAGAGGGATCACCTGCAAAGCTTTTGAGTCCACCACATCATCCCAATCAGAAGCCAACAATTGTAGAGCATCCTTTACTTCCCGTGGCAACCTGTTCTCTTTATTAGTTGAGGCACCCATAACAACAAACCCACGAAATCTTCACAAAAACTACGCTCAAATTTATTGATGAAATCAAATTTATCACCAAGGAAATAACAAGCCTGGAGAGTAAAAAAAATCAAACATCAAAAATTAAAAAAATCAATACATACATAATTACAGATTCACGTTATGATAATGCAAATTCAAGAACAAGAATTGTATTGCATGACTATAACCAGTATGAAGGAGGTCTACAAACAATAACAGCAGCTCAAAATTACCCAAAACTCACAATAATTGCAAGGAATTCAAAAAATTCACCATTAATAAGAAAATGATCCTAACAAGTATAGTATAAACCAATATCATTGTTGAATATAACAGGCAGACGAGAGAAACAATCCAAGAAAACAAGTAGTTAACAGACCGCAGGACACAATTAAGGTGATTGAAAACTAAGAAAGGCCAATAAATTGCAAGTTTAAAGCACGATTTAGATACGAAAGCAAGCATGAATTACACATTAAAAATACAATGTTTTCTTGCATAACCAAATGCATAATCACAATTGTTTATATGATTTTTCTTTTTATCATTTCCTTTCGCACAAAATGGATAGTCATCAAGCGATAGAGAAATTGAGAGAAAATATGAAAAAAAAAAGCAAAAAAGAAAAACAGATTGAATTATAAGAATGTTATGATTATTCAATTGTAAAATATTTTAATTAATTACAATCGTAAATCTTGAAAATAAACCAATTAAACATATTGACAAGTCAGAATTCAAAGGATTTATCCAAAACAAATAAACAAATAAATTCAATCTAAGAATAAGAAGAGAAGAAATAAACGCAGCGAAATCGATGCTCACCTGAACCAATAAAACGAAAGAATTATTCCCTATGAATGGGAAGAAGTTGATTTTCTGATCTTATGGGGAACCGTAGGGAACCGGTCGGAAGAGATTTGAGTTGGACGGAAAACGAATCGAGGCCGTTGGATTTTCTGGAGATGTATTTCTGTTGTTTTTCGATTTATGAGGCGCTTTTCTGCTTTGAATTATTTATTTATTTAAAAACAATCCATCTGTCCCCTGGATTTGAGCGAATCTATCTGGAAAAGTGACTTGTGTTACAAACTTAGTGGGCGTTCAGGTGCTAAATTTAGAATAGTTTTAAATTATTTTAAATTTTGTGAAAAAATATAATCATTCGAGTTATTTTAAATATAAATCATTTTTTATCAATTTTTTAACAAATTTAAATGCAATCTAATTTTTTTAGATTTGAGTTTTTAATTTTTTTAATCAATCTAAATATTGTCAGGATTGCAACTGTTTATTACAAGTATATTGCCCTTATTACTATTACATGCATGTTCGAATAAAATATACCTATGTATCAATGTCATGAACTAATTTTGTATGGAATTATGATAAAGTAGAGTTGTCTATAAAATTAATTCTTTTATACTTATAAGAGAAAGGTCTCTCTTTCAAATAATGTAATAGCTCGTTGTGACATTTCTAAAAATACTTGTTAAGTCTTCAAGGAAAAAACTTTTTAAAAAAGGAATATCTTAATTTCAAGCATTGTAATGGTTACTAGTAGAATACTTGTAAAATCTCATAAACTCTTTATAGGAGGTAAACAATTGACGAATTGTTAGGCTACTTCGCTAGCAAATGTATATTTGTAGTGAATCATTTAAGGTTGTCTCTATGGTTCTACGATAGCGTGTCTTGATCATTTTATAATTAATTTCATATTAATTAAATATTTTTCTTTTATATTACACAGACTATTGCATACAAGGTAAATAAGCGTAATTCGTGCTAGTTAGTATCAAAGCATGGGCGAGATGTGTTGATCTAAAGTGTAAACATGATGACCACATGAAATGCATCAGAAAACCATCAGAGGATTAATGAGTTAGAGACTATGGTAGCCGTAGTAAAAGCTTAAATTGTTCTACGCGAACGAATAGATGACATTAAAACAATTCAACTAGAACTGTCCGAGATGATTAATACTCTAAGTTATGAAACCAGAAATGCATTGAGCACTATCCAATGTGAGATTGGAGAACTAAAAGCTCAAGTAATCTTTTAGTTATTGCTACTGGTAATGCTAGTAGAGTTTAAGAGATTGAGAGAAAAGGGTCAAAGTGTCAAAACCCAAACGATACGAAGGGGTCAAAGATACTAAAGAGTTAGAAAACTTTTTTTTTTGATATGAGATAATATTTTCAAGCTATGCACACAAAATCAGAAGAAGGACAAAGTAACAATAGTTTCAATGTATCTTGATAGGGATACAAAGTTGTATAGATATTTATAAATACTCAATTCATTATTGGATGAGATATTTCATATTTGATTATGGGATAAATTTAGATAATATTTTTTTGTAGAGTTTCATCAATTACCACCAACACTATCGTTGGTAACACTCGAAGCCAAGATTTCAACTTTTTATCCTCTTTACCTTTATTACAACTTTTGTCATTTTAATTAATTTCTTTTTTTATAAATTAATAAGTATAAAATTAATCTTTTATATAGTTTTTAATTATTTAAATGAATATTTGAGTAATTTAATTGAGTATTTAATGAATTTAAATAATTAACAGATAATATTATATTATTATAATTTGGTTTTGAGTATTATTTTAGAACTTTATTCGAGTGTTAATAAAGTTCGTATACTTTCTTAATTAAACAGATAAAGTATTTTAAAAATCAAATACTCTATCCGTTTGCATCCCTATCTTTCACCCTATGCCTATTATATCTTGATCTTTCTCTTGCAGAAAAGCAAAGTTATTGTTGCAATTCATTATTCGTCTTCCCTATATTTACTATTTTGAAAATCAATATTCTAATTTCCATCGTGGCATCCAAAGATATTCAAAGCTATTGTATTCTTGCGGGGAAATATCAAATCATTTGATGGGCATTGCTGTAATTTAATGACATGGAAACATTAACTCCAAAGTCCAGATGTCGTATTTAATATTTTCCCGCGGACCACGGCGTGGCTTAGCCCACTGCCCGCCTGCCCTCACCATTTTAGCTCACACTACAAGCTCCCTTAGTTCACACTTCTTGTTTCCCTTCTGCAGCAGATCTCTGCCCCTTTTTCCTCTCTCTCTACAAGTATATATGTCTACGGCAGACCCGCCGGCTTCCACCACCGGAGTCGGCCTTGGTTATGGCATAGCCATTGCAGTAAGCATCCTTGTACTCATCTCCACCATTATGCTCGCTTCCTACGCTTGCGTAAGAGTTAAAGCTAGTGGCAATAATCGTACTAGTAGTAGCAGCAGCGGCAGCAGTAATGGTAGCAGGGATACCAACGGCAATAGCAATGGGATGAACCAGCGACCCGTTATGGACGAGATGGAATCGGTTATGGTGGTATTGGGCCTAGACGGGCCCATGATCGAGTCCTACCCCAAGATTGTTCTCGGCGAAAGCCGCCGTCTGCCTAGGCCCAACAACGGCCCATGCTCCATTTGCTTGTCGGAGTATCAACCCAAGGATACCATACGGTGTATCCCAGATTGCCATCATTGTTTCCATGTCGAATGTATTGATGAATGGTTGCGGATGAGTGCCACGTGTCCTTTGTGTAGGAACTCCCCAGCTCCTTCTCAAGGTCCCACACCTTCTGCCACCCCTTTGTCGGAGTTGGTGCCTCTGGCCTTCCATGGCAGGTGATTTTGTAGTAATTCATAACTTTTTTTATTTCAAAAATTTATTATGGTGCTATCATTATGAATAAACTATTGCTCAATTAATGGGGTAGATTTGATTTTTTTTCTTTATAAAATACAATTATCGAAAAAAAAAGAATTCATTCAAATATAATTTTTTGAATAAAGATACATTGTGACGTACGTTTTATCATTAAATTAGTACTCAAATGCGATTTAAAAAACATGAAAATGACCACATTTCCATTAAAAGAAAGTACTATTTATTAAATTAAGATAAGAATGAATGAGCACGAGTTGAAGTGAAGGGAGTAGGTACCCAAATTTGGGGCAAAGGCACTAAAAATTCAAAAGGTTGGGAGTTATTTAATTATTAATCTCCTAAATTTCTAAAAGAGTGGGGTTCAAATAGATTTATGTGCATTTAATTTTACAAGAAAACAATAAAAAAATACAATATTTAACACAATTAGTGGTCCATGTTAGTGGGAACCAAGAAAGGGTGATTATGGGCATTGATAATAGATAAGGAGCTCTCAAAGTCTTAAATTGCATTGAAGTTTGCCACTAATTTGTTTTTGTTGGCTGGTTTAGAATATATGATTAAACTTCCTTTGCACCCAAATCCCGTTGCAAGTGGTCCCTTGTGATTTCGTTACATATAGGGATATAAACGGGTTGACTATTATATAAGTATATGTGGTACTCAACTTGATAAAATAGAGTTTGAATGTTCTATTTTTAATTATGAGGAGAATTTGGATAAGGATTTTAATACATGACTCGAGTTTGGGTAGGTTTTGAGTATCACCTGTAAGGTATTTTAAACTCGAATCTAATTATACACATATATATTAATATTATATATAATCTTTCAAAAATTTGTAATTGTGAGATTCAAACCTTTATCTTTCTTAATTTCAACACAGACTTGAATTGTTGTTTAAGTTATTTTAATAAAACATTTAATGGATTCGAGTAATCAGCGAATAATGCTATATTATTAGGGTTTAGTTTTAGATAATGTTTTACGATTTTATTCAATTTTTCATAAAGTTTGAGTACCTTTTTAATTAAACAGATTTGAGATTAGGTACCTCAAAAAAAGTAACATACTCGTTTACATCCCTAATAACATTTAATATAAATTAACCATTTCTTATCCTTTTGCTAAGATCGATTAAGAAGTCCAATTGTAGTGTACATAAAATTATTATTATATATATATATATATATGTATTTTGTCAATATCAATAATTTATTGTTTAATGTAAATGAGATAATTTTTAAATCATAAAATATACTTAAAAATATAAATTTATGTTAAAGAAAGATAAATAATTTAATAAGGAATATATTTTGATGCATATGAAGATCCGTCTAGTCTTGATGAATTACACAAAAATAAAATTCTTTTTATTTTATAAATCTTACTTTTAAAAAAAATTAACTCTAAATTTAAATATTGAATCCTAATGGTTGAGCTATCCCCTTAGAAACCATTTTATGTGAAATTGTTTCTTAGGAGATAAATTCTAATAATTATTTAAATAGTTATACACTTCAATTTTCTTACATTTTGTAAAATATATGTTTTTTTAAGAAAATATATGAAAAGGAGAGATGATAAAAAAATTTTAATCATCTTTCTCTCTAATCTTTTTCCCACAAAATGACAGACATTGTTCTAAATTATAATCTTTTGGTTAAGAATTTATCACAACATTAGACATAACCAATCTACTAAAAAACCCTTAACCATTATTTTTCAATTTTTTATTCATTTACCAATGTTACTTAAATTGGTTATATGAAAGAGACAATAATCAAAATAATTAATTTTTATTCATTTTTTTATTTCATATATGCCTACTTATACCATAATTGATATATATTTGCCTATTTAATTCAAAACCCAAACCATGATTTGTAAAATATATTTTTATACGCATTGTATTTTATATACTGAAGAAATCATATAATTATATTCCTTTTTTTTTACAAATTTATTTCAGTTTTTCTCCTTTTTCCTATTTTTTGTTCTTTCCAGTCTTTTCTTTCCTTCTTCCTTCTTTTTTCCTCATTCCTCCCATTACCAATGGTAAATCAATAAAAGCAATCCGACCCATTCAAGCACTAGATTGAGCCCTTTCTCTCGGTCCTCCCCCTCAAATGTATCAATAGATCGGGTCGAGCCTGTTGAGCTTGAGTCGGTCCACCCATTTATCTATTATTTTATTATTAAAATTACAAAATATTTTTATATTAATTTTGTATATTTTAAAATTTAAATTAAACAAAAAATTTATTATTTATTAATATAATCATCTAATTCGATTAGACTTGAGCTCGAGCCTAAAATTCCATACCTAAGTTCGACCGAAAGTAGTCGAGCTCGAGCTCGTGAGCCTCGACACATAACCCAACCTTTGGACACCTCTATAGTTCTCTCTTTCTATTTCTCCTTCCTCCTTGAGCCCTCTATTCCCCCTACACCACCCCTTTCACTCTCTATCCCTTCCTTTAAAATTTAAAGATTAATATCATATTAACCATCTTTTTTTTTTAAATTTCCCTTTTAAATTTTTTTTGATAAAAACAAAGTACTAAAAATAATCGACTTCACAAGTTTTAGTTCATCATGTTTTTTGATAATTTAACACACGTCATAACTTTAAAATAGGTGTGTTTAGTTAATTTCAAGTGTAAATTAAGTGTCAACAATATTAGTGTGCTTGGTAAGATTCCATTAATTAAAAGCCTCAAAGGATATAAAGATTGTTTGACATGGCAAACTAGAATAAGTGTGGGATGAAACTGGATTTTTAGGCTAAATGATTTACTTCTTGATTGATGAACATGAGAATGAGAGGAGAACTTTTATTTTGTTTTATATAGATATATATATGAAGTGAAATTTTATTTATTTAGATAAAAAAAAGATTATCAATAACAAATAACCAATTCTCGGCAGAACTTGCATCCAAATATTAACACAATAAAAACTTGTACAAAAAGCTGGATATGGAAGGTAAATGCTTTTAAAAAAATCCTAATAAATTATTATTTATTTATTATGTTTAATTAAAATTTTATATTTATATTTTAAAACTTGTACGGCTGCATCGTTAAAGTAATACATGATCTTTTTACAATAATGAAATTTTATCTGTTATTTAAAAATAAAGTTTTTTTTATACAAAAAAGAACATTACAATTCAAATTTAAAATCTCCTCTTAATTTCAATCAATCCTTATTATTTGAGTTTAAGCTTAATTATCAGCAAAAAAGAAACTTTTTCAGCCACAACATTTTGAGGTTATTCAAAATTTAATCATCCATTAACACGTCACTAGAATATAGATGAAATTTGTCACGCGGAACTTAGGTGAACATACACGTACGTGACAGATTTTGCACATATTCTAATGACATATTGATAAATAGATAGATTAGAAACAAATATAAAAAAATTGTAAATAAATATAGTATTAAAAAAATATGAAAAAATATTACTATTTAACCCAAATAAAAAGAGAGGAAATGCAAATTAAGGGGCTGCCTTGCTCCTTCCACCACTTTCACGAGGCAATTGAAAAAGAGGGTCCCAGCACACAACCAAGTTGAGATAAAGTGGAATTATGGAGCATACCGACAAGAAGCTAGTTGATGAGGTGTCCGGTTGGCTAAGAGCCTACGACGATGGCTCAGTCGACCGGACGTTCACATGTCCACCTGAGGTAAAGTTCATGGCGGAAGCAATGCCACCTCATGAAGAATTCATTGAAGGTGTAGCCACTCGTGATGTGACTATTGATTCCAATTCAGGTCTTAGAGTTCGAATCTATTTGCCGGAGCAAATTCCCACTGCCAAAACTAAGTTGCCTATCATGCTTCATTTCCATGGGGGAGGTTTTTGCATCAGCCAAGCTGATTGGTATATGTACTATCACATTTACAATAGGCTAGCACGATCTCTTCCGGCCATTTGTGTGTCGGTTTACTCCAGGCTTGCACCAGAGAACAGGATTCCAGCTGCCTGTGATGATGGCTACGCTGCTCTCCTCTGGCTCAGGTCGTCGGCCAAAAGTGAGTCGCATGAGTCCTGGCTTAATGATCATGCAGATTTCAACAACGTTTTTCTCATTGGGGATAGCACGGGAGGGAACATAGTGCATCAATTGGCCGCTCGAGCGGGGAACTTGGATTTGAGCCCATTAAGACTAGCGGGCCGGATCCTAATCCACCCAGGTTTTGTTAGGGCGGCGCGGAGCAAGTCGGAGTTGGAGCAACCCGAATCACCTTTCTTAACCTTAGACATGGTGGACAAGTTTTTGGTCATGGCTTTGCCTTTTGGAAGCAGCAAGAACCATCCGATCACTTGCCCGATGGGGCCTGTAGCCCCGCCGATGGTGGGTCCAAATTTGCCACCATTTTTGTTGTGTGTGGCTGAGACGGAGTTTATGAAGGACACAGAGATGGAATGCTATGAGTCCATGAAAAAGGCTAAGAAAGAAGTGGAGTTGTTGATTAGCCCTGAAATGGGTCACAGTTTTTACCTCAACAAGATTGCTGTGGACATGGATCCAAACGCTACCCAAACTGCTAGCCTTTTTGCAGGGATCAAAGAGTTTGTCGACAAGCACTAAATTTGTCAACTGTTTCCCCCTGTTACAATCATTTAGTTACTTTATGGATAGGGTTTTTTTTTTTTTTTCAAAAATACCTTTAAGTTCTCTTTATAATTTTAATTATTTTTAATTAAAAAAATTAATTTTAAATAATTTTTTTTTTAATAAAATTGATTCATATGTTTAAATACGCATCTCAAACCGATTCATATCGTTTCAGTTATTCTTGCTAAACTATTTATCTTTATAATATTCATTGTTAAAAAAAAAATCTCTAAGTATTTTAAAGTAATTTTTGATATATGAAAAATATTTTTTGAACGTTTTAAGTATTTTAAGTATTTTGAAGTGATTTTTGATACATGAAAAAAACTTTTGAACATTTTAAGCATTCTTCGTCAAGTAAGCATATTCGTTAATTATGTTGTTAAATAAAATATAATATATTATTTAAAGTTATTGATTTTACTAAATGAAATTTAATAATTTTGGTGGTTTTTACACATTAAGTAATCGATTTTTAGATATTATGTGATTAGATTTTACGTATTACGATATTAATTTTAAAATACTACATGACTAATTTTTAAGTATTGTATAATTAGTTGATATGATATTACGTGATTGGCTGATAGGTGTGACTGGTTAGTAAAGCATTGCATGATTGATTAATAAGATATTGCATGACTAGTTTTTAGATATTATGTAACTCAAACATTGTCTAAAAATCGATCACACAATACTTACAACTCAATCACATAATGCATAAAAACTAAAAGCTCACTGATTAAGTCATGCAATACTTAAAAATCAATAATGCAATACTTAAAAACTAATTGATTTGCATGCTCATAATCCGATTTAAGTTGTCAAAAGTTATACAGTATTTTAATTTACATATATGTCTAATCAGTTTCAATCCCTCAACTTTAAGTTTTTTCAAATATAAACTAATAAATCGAAGAACTTAAAATACATACCTTGATGTCATAACTATTCGTTGAGATAGTGAGAATAAACTGAATGACGAAATAGATAATATTTAGCGAGAGAGAGAAATCAATATTTAATTTTAAAATTTTTATTTGGATGGTGAGATAGAGAAAATCGAAATCATTTTAATTTATCTGAAATTGTTTAAAAGTCATTGTTATCAAATTATGTTAAAAATTAATTAAAAATAATTAAAATTATAATAAAAAATATTTTAAAATTAAACTTACAAAGAGGGTTATTTTTTATAATTTTCTTTTATGAATAAGATGCATTAAGTTTTTTACTATTTTCTGAAAGATAATATTATGCTATATATATATGTTACATTCTTTACTTTAACATCTAATAAATGTAAAATTGGAAATTACCTTGCCTTTACCACCACTTTCACGAGGCATTGAGAAGAGGGTTCCCCCCACTATGGAAAATATCAAGAAGTTTCCATCGTAGCTCGTTTTTTAATTGCTTAATAGGACTGAAGGAAGCAGCCAACAACTTTCCACATCTGTCACTCAGTGCCGCCCATCTCCATCGTCTAGCTAGTCCTTTCCCACAATTCCCTTCAAACCCCCTAAGATTAGGACTCTCTCCACTGCTCCTCTTACATGGAAAAAAGTTGTTAATTTTCTTTATTTAGATATATGACATATATATATATTTGAAAAGAAAATTACGTGACAAATGAACAGGGTTTTTTTTCTCAGTAAATGAAAAGGATTTATTAATTATAATTTAAAATTTCGTTATTTATTAAGAGGATAAGATATCTCCATCACTAATGCATGTGTTGATTGATTTTTGAATTCAAATTATTTATTTATTTATTAAAATGATTGAATTGATATTTCGTCTGAAACACGATTAGCATATTGAAATTAATTAGTATGTGACGTTTTTTACTTCATTAAATGAATTCATTTTACCGTCAAAACTAGATGGGCCCGAGAGGCAGCATATCCGGACAAAGAATTGTTTGAACATTTTACAAAATAAAACAAAATAAAGAAAAATCATTTCACATTAGACTCAGGCCTAAAACATAACACTAATAACGTCAAAGTCAGACATGAACACAGGACACGTGAAGTGACCATCAGCATCAACCACCACAGCCAAAAGAAAATGCCAGCATCACCCTTTGAACTTCTTCAAATGCTGAAATGCTTGTTGAAAAACATGCACTCATTGGTCGCTTCTATTTGATGTTGCACTTGTCATGGCTATTTTTTTTGGAAAAGCTAGCACATATTCTATCAATAATGCCACCCGTCCTTTGACTGACAAAAGAGATGGGAAGGCAAAGACCTTGACTTGAGACCCTCTAATTGGTGTGGAAGACTTGACCAGAATTAGCCTGAGTTTCCAAACAATTTCATTGCATGTGCTTGGTCATATCAATAGTAGTATTTATAATAAGAATTTTTTTATTAATTTGGATAGAAATATTAACTAATTTAATAAAATCTTGTCCTATAGCTGTGATGGTACAAGAAATAATTGAGTAGTTGTTACAAGAAATAGCTGGGAAACAAGACAATTATATACATTTTATGGTAGGTCCATCTCACTTTACAAATTCCAAGGTAAAAAAGTAGATTCGGAATTGGATACCATTATTTTTACATTTCTTGATCGCAATCAGGCAATCACAAGCACTTTCCCATCTAACTCTTTTACTTTTAGATTAATAGAAAAACTAAAAAGCATGACCAAGCTTTCCAACCTTATTGTTTTACTTTTGCTAATTAAAAAAATATAATTAAAACTTTTCCATATGAACTTGGGAGGCGAAACTCAAAAGCCTTTCAAACACATAATTTTTTAAGCTCAAAAGATCATGTTCTTGAGTCAAATTAAAAGCAGACCCTTTGAACCTAATTCATAAAGAGCAATATATATTTTATTGCATAACCTAGCAATTTCCCCTTTCCACACCTTTCAATCTTCTATATAAAGGGCAACCACGTTCATCCTTCACTTAACTCACTTAAACTTTTAAGTCACCAACCTAAAACACAACCAAGCTGAGACAAAGCAGAATTATGGTGCAAGAGAAGAAGCTAGTTGATGAGGTGTCGGGTTGGCTAAGAGCCTACGACGATGGCTCGGTCGACCGGACATGGACAGGTCCCCCTGAGGTGAAGTTCATGGCGGAAGCAGTGCCACCCCATGAAGAATTCATTGAAGCTGTAGCAACTCGTGATGTGACTATTGATTCCAATTCAGGCCTCAGAGTTCGAATCTATCTACCGGAGCAAGTTCTCACTGCCAAAATTAAGTTGCCTATCATACTTCATTTCCATGGGGGTGGTTTTTGCATCAGCCAAGCTGATTGGTATATGTACTATCACATTTACACTAGGCTGGCAAGGTCTGTTCCAGCCATTTGCGTGTCAGTTTATCTCAGGCTTGCACCAGAGAACAAGCTTCCAGCTGCCTGTGATGATGGCTACGCTGCTCTCCTCTGGCTCAAGTCGTTAGCCAAAGGTGAGTCACATGAGCCCTGGCTCAATGATCATGCAGATTTCAACCGCGTTTTTCTTATTGGGGATAGCTCAGGAGGAAACATAGTGCATCAAGTGGCTGCTCGAGCTGGGAACTTGGATTTGCACCCATTAAGGCTAGCAGGTGGGATCCCAATCCACCCGGGTTTTGTTAGGGCGGAGCGGAGCAAGTCGGAGTTGGAGCAACCGGAATCACCTTTCTTAACCCTAGACATGGTGGACAAGTTTTTGGCCCTGGCTTTGCCTGTTGGAAGCACCAAGGACCATCCGATCACTTGCCCGATGGGGCCTGCAGCCCCAGCCATGGAGGGTCTAAATTTGCCACCATTTTTGTTTTGCGTTGCTGAGAAGGACTTGATAAAGGATACAGAGATGGAATACTATGAGGCCATGAGAAAGGCTAACAAAGAAGTGGAGTTGTTGATTAGCCCTGGAATGGGTCATAGTTTTTACCTCAACAAGATTGCTGTGGACATGGATCCAAACTATGCTGCCCAAACTACCGGCCTTATTGCAGGGATCAAAGAGTTTGTCAACAAGCACTAAATTTGTCAACTTTTTCCCCTTGTTATATCCATTTATGTACCTTATGAATAAGCTGCGGTAAGTTATAACAAAACAAGAACCTAGTAACATCTACTAAATGAAGTTTGTAACGAAATGAAAACTTGCAAAGCATCTTTGGGTCACACTCCATGTGTTAGGTGAAAGATGATATATCTTTATTGAGGCGTCATTATTTTCTGACAACTTGTGGTTGTATCATTCCGTATTGAACAGTCGAGTCCATATAAAAACAGAAGGAGCCACTCCCGAATTTGATGAGCCTCAATCAAATCTTAGAGGGGACAAAGTGTTTATTTGTTGGCTTTTTCTTTTGTCCATTGACGCCTTGCTTTTGACGCAGTGATCAAGTGAAAAAACAGATACGTTCCAAGAAACATTACAAAATAATTATATTTATTTACGTACTCTAAAATTATACGTAAAAGGAATTCACAAATAAGTTTCATTTATAATAAATTTATACCACAAGAGGGATATGGATTTATCGGAACTGAATCGCCCTGGGTCAATTTGGGTTTTAATCATCTTCAAATAATTTTGAATTTAAATTGCTTGAATTCAGAGAAATTTTAAATTTTTATTGTTTTAAGTTTGGGACTTTTTAACTCACTTAGAATCTAATATTTGAATTCAATGTCAAGTATGCCACCGAGAATCACAAATATATATATTCAACAGGTTCTGGGTCTATGAAGGCATAACATAAAACCAAATAGAGATGTCTTCATAGAAGAATCATGCTAATCCAACAATTGATCTCATTGGTGCACTTTATGCAGTATATAAGATGAAGAAACTTGCTTAAAAGGCAATTTAAAACGCACTCTCTCCCCCTTTCCATACACAACCAAACACAAATTTGGGTTAAGGTTAATTAATATTAGAGCAACAAAAAAAAATAAAAAAACAAACTTTTTCATCCATAATTTGAGGTTATTCAAAATTCATTCATTCATCAAAGGGTTACTAAAATATAGACAAAAGAGGAAGAGTTTTCGTAAGAGGAGCACAACGCATTTTTTCTTGTTTTATGGATTTTATTATTTGATAGACATTTCAATTATTTTATAAAATTCGTTAACGGTGTTTGAGATTTTGGAGTGAGGTGTTTATTTCTAATACTAATGAATTTAAGGTAAATTATGATCAAACTTTAAAAGAGTAGAGGAGATTTACCCAAATAATTATATAAGATGAAAGGGATCAGGGTCGGCTCTAGGGTCAAGCCACCAAAGCTTTGCTTTATATCTCAAATTTTCATAGTTTATAATTTTATAATAATATAATTAATTATATTAAAAATATATAATAATTAGTATAATTAATAAAATATTTACTTATCTTCTCATTCTTAATAGATATTTATTTTCTTTCACTTTTCACATTTTTATTAATTTTTAACTATTTATATTATTTTTTATCAAAATATATAAAAATTAAGATAATTAATAAATTTTTTATTTTTTTAATTATGTGCTTAATATATATTAATTTTTTATCACTTTTTAAAATTCATAATACTATTAATTCATAACTATTTCTTCCATTCTCAACTAATTAAGGATAATATTTATTTAATGATGTTCAACAATTATTTTTTCTAAACATAAAATTAATTATTTTTTAAAAATTATAATATTTACCTAAGAATTTTTTTTTTATATTTTCTCTTTCTTCTTTAATTTTTTAATAAAAAAAATCTCATTTTCTTAATTTCAATAAAAAATATCACTGGAATCTAAAGTAGAGACAAGAGAGAAAATGCGAAGAGGCTGCCCTGCGCCGCCGCGTCAGGAGGGTTCCCCCACTATAGAAAATAAGAGAGAGAGAGTATAGAAATAATCTTAGCTCGTTTTGCTTCTTGGGTTTGACTGACGGCAGCAGCCAACTACTTTCCACGTCTTTCACTCATTTTCTCCCATTTTCCCTCGTCAATTTTCTTTGGTTAGGTAAATATATACATATATATATTTATATATGGAAAATGGTTGGATATTTATTATTAAGAGCATAGGACAAACAAGTGTTAGGTAATTAAGGCGTTGCACGACCTTATCATGCGTTTTTCTCTTTGGTAGTTAGAAAAGTCCAAATTCATGACTGTTCAATTATGACAATTTCTGTTGCAATTATCTCCATCACCATTAGAGCTAGCAGTTTCAATGGCATCTTTAGTTCGTCAAATGGTTTAGTCTTACATCAATGCATTTATACGAATTGTGTTGATTGATTTTGAATTTAAATCTTATATTTGATATATTTATTAAAAACATTGAATTAGAATTTCGTGAGAAACACCATGGAAGATGAAGCTAATTAATATGTAAACACCTATCTGTGATTGAAAAGAAACCATTGTAGGTACTAGCCAGCCACAAGCTCCTATGTGTCCATCACCATTTTAGCATTGATAATGCTTAGTTTAAGCTAAAAAGAATTATTAGTTTTAGGTGCAAATTTTATTTTAATGTGAGTTAGTCTAATTCAATAGCTGCTCAATAACTTTAAAGCTTTAAAGTTAAATATTCAAATGATATATTTTTTTTATTGAAATCAAGGAAAAAAAGAACAAGTGAAGAAAGAAAATTTATAAGTGGATATTTAAAATTGAAAAAAAATTAATTATATATATAAAATCATTAAATACATATCATCTTCAGTTTATGAAAATAAAAAAATAATTAAAATTTACGAATTTTAAACTTCATTTCCATGGGGGTGGTTTTTGCATCAGCCAAGCTGGCTGGTATAAGTATTATATCATTTACACTAGGTTGGCAAGGTCTGTTCCAGCCATTTGCGTGTCAGTTTACCTCAGGCTTGCACCAGAGTGTTATAAAACTTGATTTTAAGAAGGAGAAGATAAAACCAAGTACATGGAAAGAGAACAGAGCATTAAGGAACAAAAACGATAAGTTCAAAGCTCTGTTTCATTACTTCACAAGTACAGTATATAAATACAAGTAATATATGATAAACACCTGTTACACATAAAGACAAGTGTTAAAACAAGTTACATGCACTGCAACACATCAAAAGCATATACATTAGACACTTACTAAACAGTACAACAAAGCAAAATGGATGTACATGTCCACGTAGTAAGCTGATGCATGCTTGAATCCTAACACTCCTCCTTAAAGCTTGCATCTTTGGCATTCATCATAGTTCTAACAGTTTCGAGCTTGGGCTTAGGACGAGTTTTAGTCATAATATTTGCAATCTGATTTCCAAATGAACAATGCTGTAGAACAATTTCTCCATTTCTCTCAGCTTCCCTAATAGCATGAAACTTCACCTTAATGTGTTTAGTTTTGCCATGAAACACAAGATTCTTTGTGATCGAAACAGCAGATTTGTTATCAACAAATATACTGGTTGAAGCTTCTTGAACAAAGGTCAAGTCATTCAAGATTTTTCTTAACCAGATAGCTTGATTTGTTGCTGCATTGGCTGCTATGTATTTTGCTTCAGCAGATGATTTAGCAACTACACATTGCTTATGTGAATTCCAGGAAAATACCACATTACCAAGAGTAAAAACATACCCAGAAGTGCATTTGGAGTGATCAACACTGCCTGCCCAGTCACTATCTGAGTAGCCAACCAAATTTATTTCCTGCAATCTGCCATAATATATATCAGATTTGATACTTCCCTTCAAGTATCTGAGAATGTGTTTAGCTACAGCAAAATGAACATCAGTAGGATCTTTCATGAACCTGGACAAGAGACTGATTGAGTACATCAATTCTGGACGTGTGGAGCAGATGTATAATAAGCTTCCAACCAAACTTCTAAAACCTGATGCATTTCTCAATTTGCAACCATCATTTATGGACAATTTCTGATTTATCACAAGAGTAGATACAGAATTGCATTTGCTCAAGTGAAACTTGCTCAGAATTTCTTGAATGTAATTCTCCTGCGATATAAAAATACCTTTGTTAGTTTGGCAGATTTGTATCCCAAGAAAATACTTCATTGTACCAAGATCTGACATCTTAAAATTCTTCCTCATATTAGACTTGAATTTTCTGATTTCTTTATCATTGCATCCTGTCACCAGAAGTTCATCAACATACAAGGAAATAATTACTTAAGAATGTACATGGTTGCTTCACTGGGGCTTTTCTCAAACCCAAGATTCACCAGATATGAATCAATTTTACTATTCCAGGTTCTTGGAGCCTGCTTGAGACCATACAAGGCTTTATGTAATCTGTAAACCTTGTCAGATTGAGATTCAATTTTAAATCCCTCTGGTTTCTCAACATAGATCTCCTGTAATATACCATTTAAAAAAGCAGATTTCACATCCAAGTGAAACACCTTCCATCCAAATGCAGCTGATAATGCAAATAATAATCGAATGGTTTCAAAACGAGCTACAGGAGCAAAAGTTTGCAGAAAATCAACACCTGGAAGCTATGAATACCCTTTAGCAGCAAGTCTTGCTTTGTACTTGTTTAGAGTACCATCGGAGTTAAACTTCTTCTTGAAGATCCACTTAGCATGGTGTTTTGCTGGTTTATCAACAAGTGACCATGTGTTGTTTTTGTTTATTGTGTTGATCTCTTCTTGCATTGCAGCTCTCCATTCCTTAGATTCCGCTGCTGCTTGATACGTATCAGGTTCAATTGTAGCAACTAAACACCTGTGATAAATATCTTCCAGACTTCAAGTGCCTCTGACTGCATAGTTTTCATCATCATCTGCATTCTGTTCTGGAATATCTGGCTCAGTCTCAATTGGTTGATTGAACTGAATACTGAATGGTGGTGCTGAACTCTCTGGTTCACTTGCAAACCAGTCCCAATTAGAGTCTTCATCAAATACAACATTCCTAGTGATCACAACCTTATCAGACTTTACCGGTTAGACTCTATATCCTTTTGACTGTCATTATAACCGATAAAAATTCCTGCTTCAGACCTGTGATCAAGTTTGTCTCTATAATTCTCAGGAATTTGATGATAGCATAGACTTCCAAATATCCTGAGATGATCAACTGAGGATTTACTGCCATGCCAGGCTTCATATCAAGTTTTTCCTTGGTAATCTATTTAACAGGTATGCAGTAGTATTACAAGCTTCTACCCAGAACTTTTTTGGAAGTTTTTTTTTCAAACAGAAGACATCTTGCCATGTCAACTATTGACCTGTTCTTTCTTTCATTTACCTTGTTTTGTTGAGGTGCGTAAGGAACAGTAAGCTGATAATGAATTCCCTTAGCTTTAAGATAATTTTCAAATTCTGAT